CGAGTGCAGAGGGTCCCCTCAACTTTTCACACCCCCTTGTCGCCCTCAGGGAAAGGCAGGGGACTCAGGAAGCTGAAGGGACGGAGGGGCGAGTGGCCTTGGAGATCAGACTCCGTGCTTATGCCACTGAGGGCCTGACACTAGGGAGGACAGAAGTTGGAGCCACAGGAAAGGTCAGCTAATACACGCACAGCGGCCAGCGCCTTTCTCCCTTAAAAACGAAGAGCGGTGGCTCAGACTCCGCCCTTCCCAGCCGCAGCTGCCCGGGACAGGGAGGTGCGTTAGACTAATCATTCATTCACTCGCGGGCCAGGGAGGGACCGCCGCCGCTAATCTCCGCCCGGGCCGCCTCTGCGGCGGCCTCCCAGCTGGGCGCACGGTGGCAGCCACTACCCTGCAGCGCTTCTCGCCTGTGCGGCCCTGGTGTCCCCTTTGATCCCCTCACCCCGCCAACCGTCCCCGCTGAGTCCCAGCCTCCCACCAAGCAGTGGCTGGCTCTACTCAAAATGGGTGCTAATCTAGAAACAAGCATTTTTATAACATCGCTGTGAAGGCGCCAGATGAGGGTGGAGGGCGCTTGGCACATGTTGGAACGGATGGTCAACTGTCTTTGGCTCCTATTGTGGCCACACGCTCCCATCCGAAGAACATCCAGCAGGTGCCCACAGGCATGCTAATTCCTGCAGAGCCTTGTGGATCCAGACAATAACCGCTGACAAGACAGAGAAACCAAGCATCTCCTCCGTCTCAGACCAGAGTTTCAGACAGCGTTTGGGGCTCTAGTGAGGACTCCTTTGACAATAAGTCCTTTAGCTTCACCACCATCCTTACCTACTTCCCCACCCTACCCCGCTGTCCATTTGTTTTCATTTTGCAGTGATTTGGAGGCTTCTTTTAATGAGTGCTTCGTGGCCAGCATCCTAACACAGCAAGGACCACATCCCTGTGACGTGAGACAAGAGGGAGAAAGGAAAGCTGTCATTAGCTTAGCATGCTCCATTTCCCTCTCAAAACAGATTCTGTGTAAAATCTAAATTAAAAGAGACAAGAGCGATGCGGTTACTTGTTTTCCCCCAAATAACACCACCGCTAGATGCCTTGAAAGTCAAAGTGTTGAATGTTTCGCTGATTTCCTAAGCCTACAGAATTGTTAAGCTGTAAACACACACACACACACACACACACACACACACACACACACGAGAGAGAGAGAGAGAGAGAGACAGAGAGAGACAGAGAGAGAGAGAGACAGAGACAGAGAGACAGAGACAGAGACAGAGACAGAGACACAGAAACAGAGAGTGTGTTTTACTTCCCATGGGAACTAATTAGAAAATAAGTTAAAGACAGAGCTATGGCCACAGAATGGTAGTAAGCAGGAACCATTGTCTCTGCTATCTAAAACGATTCTCCCTGAATGGGGTCTCTAGATAAATTTATTTATTGTGATTCAGGTAAGGAACAATGAATGATGGAGATCCTAGGAGACCTATTTTGCCCCCAAATGTCCCTAGATTTGGTTACAGGCACACTACATGATTGCAAGACATCTGAAGAACATGCCTATGTCACTTTGCGATACCTTCCCCAGCACTGGTTTAGTGCCTCAGTGTGCATGACTAATTTTAGGAGGGAATCTGGATGTATATGGCATTTCTATCATGGGTGGCCAGACATTCTCCTTAGGGACAAGCCAGAAGTCCACCTGGAAAAGCCTGGAAGTTGTGAGTGAGACTGTGAACAGAAGCCTTTGGGAACCCAGCTCCTTCTGTGTCCATTTCTCAATGGGCTCTGCTTCAAAAAGGACAGGCCACCTCAGAAAGTCTCATCAGCCATTGGCTTTGTCACTCCTGAGTAGCACAGTCCATCAGCTGCCAACTGGTCCCTATCTAAGCCAAGCTGAGGTATTCCAAGGTCAAACAAGGAGAAGCCAGAGGGAAGGGAAAAGAGAGGGAGGAGGCAAAGAAGCAAGAGAGAGGTGGGGAAAAGGCTTGTTTCCATATTTAAACAAAATGGAGTGGTAGTACCATCCACATTCCCAAATAATCTTGACTGGAATCCAAAGGAGCTAAAAAAAAAAAAAAAAGGGAGGGGGGCGTTTGGCTTGGCTTGTGACATTGTTCATGGGTGAGTAGTCAATGGAGCCCAAAGATTAGGGTTGAACTCAAGGCCCCTCCTAGGCCCAGATCTGCAAAGTCTCATTTCTTGCTCCATAGAATAAATGTGTAACCTAGCCAGATGAAAAGGGAGGCATGTCTTAAGGTAAGTGTTGTCACATCTTTCAAACTATGATCTCAATTCACACTGAAGAATTCACTGAACATGCAACTTAGTAGTTTCAAATCACTTCCAGAAATCCTCAACTACCTTCCTCATAACAGAGAAAACAGAACTCTCAAAAGTGACCTGAAGTAAAGGGATTGTGATAGAAAACACTGATGGGCTGGGGGTAGTCCATAATATATGAGGGTTATGGTTATGAATGGTATTATCCTGGGTAAGTTTGACTTAAGAAAAATGAAGGCCCTAATCTGATAAGGGAAACTCAGATACTGTGAGAAAAATACAGACAGCCCACAGACATCAACCCCAGATGACTAAGAAGGAAAACCCTGAACCGAGTGCCTGTTTTTTCTTTGAAACACTCAGACTACATTTCTATAGAAGAGGGATTATTTTTGCAAGTGTGTTCAGCAATCTGGATATTTGGTCAGTGTTCACAGTAATGTTGGGGAGGATCATTTCCACATGTTAGAAATCGTTTGGAATGATAACATGGATTATGCAGACAAATCATTACTTCTTGACCTCTTTAGTGACAGTTATTTGATTCTTGCTAGGATGAAATTGCAAATGCTACTGTCAAGTTTTGTTATGTTTTAGCACTGGAGGTGTCAGAGAGCATATGAATGGGCTTCTTCCCCCTTTCCTTTGAAAGAGAAAAAATCTAGCTCAGTGGTAGAGCATTTGCCTGACCCATGTGATGCCCTGTGGTCCAAGGCTAGGAAGATGCAGAGATAAGAGAAACATGACTTGCCAGGGCCACATAGTGGCTGAGCCCATTAGCAGAGCTCTGCTGGCTTGTGAGCATTGTGTTTTCCGTTACAGATACTCTGCCTTCTTGGATTATGAGTCATAGGAATTACAGGAAAAGGCCATGGGACATTTCAGATATGATGCAGATTCAAGTTACAGATTTGGCACAATGGAACTGAACAGGACCCAAAGCTACAGGTTGTATGACACCATATGAAACAGGCCATGATTGATGTCCAGTGTAACCATGAACTTGTTCTTAGGTAACTAGACTAGAGTGCTAAGGAACTGTGCTGTCCTTCCAGATGAGTTAATGGACTTCTTGTTTTATCACCTTTCAGAGTTGCTGGGGCCCACTGAAGCCAGGAGTTATCCTATAGATTATAGCAACAGGATTTCCTGCCATTCCCAAATGTAAGAGGCTTTGAAATTACTTTCTTTTTTAAAGATGGAGGTATGGGAGACTATGACAACATTATTAAAACTGAATTATTTGGAAAAAAACTGAATTATTCAATCATTAGCCTGGTTCTTTTGCACAGAATCATTTACCCCATTTCTTGTAACCCTAAGGACTACACCCATCACAGCATTTCCATTTATAAAGCAAAGCCACAGGATAAAACTGCTAATACCAAGAAGTTTTTAAAACACCAGTTGCCCTGAAATAACAAAGCCACTGTTTTATATATTTAGTTTTCAGTTTGAACCAATGCTATAATAAATACCATTCCTTCACTACATGGTCCTGACCCATCACAACCCCCACCTCCACCTTTGCCTCTAGGATAATGGAGCCTCGTTACAAACGATGTAGAAAGATGTGCTGGGACACAGTGTCTTGCACTAAAATGCCTGTAAGCTAAATCAGTGAGGTTAAAGATCATACATACACTAGTTTGACAAACAAAATAAAGTTCATGCTATTAGAAGACTTGTAAATTTTTTGAAACCCTTAAAATATGTACATGTATGGATACCCTGTCTGGGAGTTGCTCTGAGAAAGGATCTCTCACTCTCCTCTCTACCTGGAAGTTACTTTGCAAATGGAATGTAACTAACTGGCTTTATTCACCAAAAACTGTAGCTCCATCTTGAGGAAGTAAGGAATTGACAAGAGACTGAAAATCAATCCAGGGTATCAGGCTACCAAGCTAATAGCTTGCTCCTGTTGGTAGGCTTCACTATCTGCATCCTGTCAGTC